AAAGCCTTATTTTGCTATTTAAAAAAAAAAAAAAAAAAAAAAAAAAAAAAAATCATAGATAAGCTGCCTTGCCTTGCCTTGCCTTGCCTTGCCTGAAATACATGTACGAAATGAGAACAAGAAAATCTCGTTTCGTTTGACAATTAAAAAATAATAAAAAAAAAAGAAGAAAAGTATAGCTTAAGCTGAATTTTTAATACCCATCACTATTACCCACTATTAAAACTGTTAAGAAATGTGTTAATAAGAACGAATCAGTTAAGGAGTACGTAGATTGGCTTGCATTGAATATTGATACCAATAAAATGAACTTGAAATACATTACATTAACATCTTTATACCGTTTATGGCTTCACAAAGAAAGAGATAATGAGTATACCATGTGTCTGCATGTGCGCACATATGTGTATGTGTGTGTATATATATATATATATATATATATATATATATATATGTGTGTGTGTGTGTGTGTGTGGTTATGAATAAAATACGCGTTTATAACAATTTCTCAATTGTTGTTTTATCCCTAATCCCGAAATTTAAATCGGGAAGCAAATGCAAGATATGACCCAAATTCATATGACATTATAGCAATTTAACAGTACTCGCTCACCATTAAATACCCGTGCACGCTATGCGTGTAATAAAAAAACCAGACTAAGAATATAAAACAAATCAGCTTGACGTGAAAATGTTCCGGTCTTGGACACATTCACTCTGAAATGAGAAATTCCCGTAACGTTGTACCGAATTTTCTTCTTAAAGCTTTCAATTGCCCGTAAATTATATTGTTTTCGGCTTGCCATCCTTTAAAAACCTCGATAGACGGCTAAGCAATGGTAACAAGTGCGTTAATTTTATCCTGTCCGGCAATAATTGTATGATGTCGTTGTTGTACGTGTCACGCCTTCATATTATTAAAGTTGTGATCCATTAAAATATCATAAGGAAGCCATTTAATATTCAAGAGTGCTGTGTACCGCACCTTGCTTACGAGGCCAGAAGCGGAAGCGTTTGAGTTATATTGAAACTATTAAGGATGCGGCAGTACATGGGTCATAAAAATCGCATTGCAATTCGCCCAAGAAATCAAGATCTCTCAGCTATTCGTGGAGATGCGGTTAACAATAAACTGAAGACTATCAAGTGCAAAAGATAAGTGTAAAGATACCTAAGATATCTTATAGACCAGATGCAGCAAAGGCAATGACACGACCTTCTTTGGCTTGCAGGCGTTCAAAAATTTCTCTTAGGTGCATCTTCCGGAAATGTGCTTTCATTCATTTCATTGGCACATTTTGCAAAAGTCTTGCTTAATGCAGCTTGCATGCTTCCTCCAAATACGAGAGTATTAAAAATCGCGGTGCAGGCATATTAAAGCGATCATTCTACAGTATATGTCACGCACTGCTTAGCTAAATCAATATCAACTTCACGTTGTGTTTTCTTCCTTCTAGCTATGGTTGATTGTAACGCATGCAAGCGATGTTATCAGAATGCAACCCCCACTTCATCTGTTATTCAAAAACGAATTCCCCTCTGTCCACCGATCGGAGAGCGAAGAGCAATTTTCGATTGCGTAATTGTCCACAGCGTTCTATCGTGTCGCAACGCGTCTTCAACTTTTGTCGCCAAGTCGCCTATTATGCAAAAGCACCTTAAACTTCCTTGTCGTTGTTGTGCGAAACAAGCAAAACAACGTTTAATAGACGTCGCGAAAGTAATCGTCACTCAATCGTGAGGGCGTTTGAAAATGAATTTTAATGAAACTTTAAACAGAAACGAATCACATCAAGTAATATCAATTTATTGGAGAGCATGCAGACTCGTCAGGCACGGTTAGCTTGCAGTGAAGCAATCTGCCGCACTCTTCTATTTCAGCGTCCATGTTTTTACATCTTCCGAATTTCCGCAATGCCTGTAAAAGTCAAGAAGGAATGCGGTTTCACATTGGAATCGCATCATACGTTCTCCGGTCGCGATTAAACGCACTTGATCTCTGGAAAAGCTTGCTTTTTCATATATATATATATTGACTTTTGTGCAGTGCAATAACGTCTAATTGGACGATCTTAAAATGAATAATATGGCCAGTTGATGATGTTCTTCCAAATATTTGATTACTTAAACAAATTGTTTTTTTTCTTTTCAAATGTTTTTTTTTTTTCCCCTCCTATTATTAGATTGCATCGAAGTAACACATGTATCGTTCTTGATTTGAATACTTTTGTATGAAATTGAAATTTTCTTTATCTCTTTCACTTTTTTTTTTTTGTTTTGTAAGAGAGATTTTTAAAGACTTACCCAATTCTTTATCAAAAAAAATTCTTCAATTCTATTGAACTTATAGAGTAGTTGTACTCAGTGTTTTCTTTGCTTTATCTTTTTCTCCTATTCTTGTTGTTCCTTTTTGTCTCCTTTCGAATCACAAAAACGGCCTTACACATTGCTCGGAGGTAAACAGAAAGTTGAAAGAAATTTCTTCTCTTAACTAATATGTAACTTTATGATGGATTTAGCATAGCTGCTGGGCTTTAACTTATTAACTGGTTACGATTTTGCTGCAGGCCTCGCAAGCCCATAATGAAATGTAATATATTTCGCTTTGGTAGTTATATAAATATCATCTGAGAAACAAAAAAAAAAAAAAAAAAAAAAAAAAAAAAACAAAAACAAAATTCAAACAGATTGATTGATGACAGTTTATTATAAGATTATAAAGCGTTGTATTTATTCTGCGCAGAATTGCGATATGTACACCGAAAATGATAAGAAATGCCGGCACAAGCTGGCTTATGAAACTTTGGCGCGTAAACTACATAAAGAACACAGCGCACAAAAGGCAAAATTAATGTCACGCTAAAGTAATTTATAATAATTTTTATATTCTTGTTATATATTATTTTTGCTTCTTTATTTCTTGCTGCATATCTCTTAAAAAGACGCAATTGTTATAAGTTTCCGAAAGATTAAAAAAAACATATATATAAAAAAATAAATAAATAAAAAAATGAATAAAAAAAAAATAAATAACTGCCAACAATAACTTGACAATGTTGTCGCCCAGTTGTTTGCAACAATAAGTTCTTAAGGTTTAAATATAAAAAAAAAAAAAAAAAAAAAAAAAAAAAATCACAAAAATTTCTATAAACTTCTTTTGTATCAAAAAAAATAAAAATAAATAAATAAATAAATAAATAAAGAAAAAAATACACACACACAAACACCCACACATATAAACACCTTAACGCACACAAGACCCAGCGATAAGATATCTTCGGTTATTGTTACTCGTTTGTTGCCTAGTACTGGGGGGTCTCTTGTGTCTCTCCGTTTGCATTGCTTAGAGTTACTTAAATATTTAGTTACACTTTCCATAATATATTCTTTTTAAAGACGCTACTGGGGCAGGGCCGATAGATAGAGCTTCTTTATTTTTCACGTTTTATGTTGTTGCTTCCGTTGATGTTGATGTTAATGTTGATGTTGTTGTCGTTATTGTTATTGTTATTGTTATTGTTGTTGTTTTACAACAAAATTCTGGTAATTTTCAATTCAGTTGCACTAATTGAATTTTGCGCTTCAGCTGAAAAGTTATTGCGCTTCATCTCAAAAACATGCAGCATAACTAAACGCGGGTAACGTACAAATACATGCATAACGCAATATACATAAACTGTGTAAAGAGGGACGATTTTCATAAAGATAATGTAAAAACATGATTTTAAACACGACATTAGCATTTAACTAATAGCACTTTAAAGCTCTTTATAAGAAACATAAGAAGAAAATGAACAGCACATGCATCTTAGAGAGGGGCAGGCAGGCAGGCAGGCAGGCAGGCAGGCAGGCAGGCAGGCAAGCAAGCGGACAGCCAGAGATTGTTTCTCTCTCTCTCTCTCTCTCAAACTCTATCTCTATCTCTATCTCTATCTCTCCCTTTAATAGCTTGGCCAATATTATCTGGTATCTGGTGGTATCACACGGATTCCCCCATAAGAATATCAATTTGATTCTTCTCTAAAGTTAACGTAAAAGAAAGGATTCCATTGTAATGCTTTTTTTTTTTACTTTATATTATTTTATTTATTTATTTATTTTTATTTATTTATTTATTTATTTATTTAATTTTTTTTTTTATGTTTTCTTCATTCAGTTTTATAAAGTTTTAAATATCAGTTTCGTTTTCAGTTCAATTCAGTTGAGTTCTCTTAGCGAGCTCCACTGCTCAGCTCAGCTCAGCTCTGCTCAGCTCAGTTATCTATTGGTTGCCATCTGTCCTTGCTTGCGCCAGTCATTCCATCATCTATACAATTTGCTAATCTATCTAAGCGCTCTTCTCTTTTGTCTATCTATCTATCTGTCTGATTGTCTGTCTCGGGCTAAAACGTACATCCTTTCAAGCATTTTATACGCTGAGCTATTGCGTTGTTGTTTGTTGTTTGATCATGACCGCTCTTTTTAAAATGTTTCCTTTGCTTTTTGTTTTTTTTTTGTTTTTTTTTTTCCTTGTTGTTTCTCTTGCTCACTGAAGTTAATTGTGTGAGATTTTACTACAGTAGCGTCTCAAGAAAGCGTTGAAACAAATTACTTTCGATACAATCTTTTTGTATTACTCCCGGTGCTGCTACCGCCATCACCACCGCCAACTTTTGGTTGGTGGTCCATATTAACATTTTGCTGCCTGTCGCTTATTATGAACCGACACTTTTTCTGAATTTTTTTTTTATTCCTTTTTTACTTTTATTTCATTTTATTATCACTGCTTGCGCTCTGCTGTTACTGTAGCTGTTATTGTTGGTATTATTGCTTTTGTTGTTGTGGTCGTTGTTGTCGTTATTGGTGTTGTTTATAGATAGTGTAATTTGAAACTTTTTGCCAATTTTTATTTATTTATTTATTTATATTTTTTTTTTTTTTTTTTGTTACTTTTCGCTGCCGTTTTATTGTTTTTCTCAGTTGGTTACTTATATATTTTTTTTTTTTTTTGCAAATTGCAGGTCTCCAAGCTTTTTGGTTGGCTATTAGCTGTTGGCTTTGGTGGGTGCGTTATTGCTGCTAAGATTTTGCTTCACTTTTGCTTTTATTTCCCGTTGATATTTAATATGGATCGTGCTAGTGTTATAATGCAAGCATTTAATTCCTCAACATGATACAGTTTAAGATAATTGCCAATGAAAGAAAGAGAAAAAACAAAAAAAAACCTAAAATACGAACCACTACCTATACTGATGCCATTTTGCTCCTTTCTTCCCCGACTAACGAAATTATAAGCTAAATTTAATGTTTTGATTTCAATTCTAAATTTAAAACACACACACACACACCTACACACACACACACACCTACACACACGCACAAGTTCACGTTATTATTATGCATAGTTTTTTCTATTACAGAAAAGTGAAAACTAGGTCGTGAATGCATTGCGAATAAATATTTTAAAAATTCCGAAAACCTTATCGAATCGTTACGATGGCTTATCGAATTCTAAACAAATGTGAGATTTGCATACCTGTTAGACCGAGTCTTTACTGCTCTCCACCTCCATTTCCATCTCCATCTCCATCACCAAGCGTTATACGAATAATGTCACTATTCCTTTGTCAATTGTCTTGCCTACCATTTAAGGTTCAAGTTATTTTCCACATTTAACATGACAGATAGCTTTCGTAATTAGCTATCTATTAGTCATGTTACTATCTACTATACATTTAAAGTTTGTTTTTTTGCAAGTTTTATGAACAGTCCAACAACAGACGATAGTCAGATAGATGAATGGAATCGAATTGCAATCTTAGACAATTCAAGAATGTCTACATTTTCCGGTACCTGTAGAGGGTTTTACTTATTTTCTGTTTTGATAAAAAGTACAAATAGGAAAAGGAATCTAATAGAGCCCTAGACTATGTGGAGTGGATATAAATAAAAATGGACGAAGACTAGGAATATTAATACATTTCACGCCTAATAGATACATGAAAGTGCCAAGACGTTTTATTTGTGTTTGCCGCTCAATTGACGGAACTGTCGGAGGGACATGTATGAAATTTCCAGTTGCTGCGTATATATAAAAAGCAACTCTAATAAAGTTACAGCCAAGTCAAACTAAATTCAGGTTGTAAATTTAACTATCACATTGTAACTGAAGGTTAAATAAAACAATATAACTTTAAAATGGACTAATGGACTGTGATGTGCATCATAAGACGTTTGACATCGTGACCATGACAACAAATTGGCAACACACGGGTATTAGAAGGATTTGATTTTATGATATGTAAGGGATCCAATAAAAAGGTTAAATTATAACGAGTGGCCTGAGATTTTTTACAAACGACTCATAATTGAATTTACTGAACACGAAGCTTCTTAATGGATGAATAGACCGAATTTAAGTTCATTTCACCATCTATGAACTATCCTAAGTATATAAAATATAGATCGACGTTTCTCAAGCGAAGATAAACATCTAAGTAATAATTTTGAAATGAAACTAACGATGAAATATGCTTCCCCTTTTAAGGAAAGGAACGGTTTTAGGTTGCCTGCGGAACAATTATTATTGCTTCCAAACGGCTGCCTTGACAGACACCAGACTTAATTGCCAATTCTATCGTATGAAAGGAGTCTTCCACGATTTTATATGCTTAAGCAGTACACAAACTGTAAAGAGAAAGCAGACGAAGGCGCTTCAATACATTTCAAGTAGTTTCCTCCAAATATCTTTTGAGACAATACCCTGGACCGCAATGACAAGATTAGGATCAAAATACTAAATCGTGAGACTCTTTTCCATTCTACTAACCGGGCCTTCCTCTACATTCTCCGTCCCTTATCGGCATCGAAATTTTAAAGACCTAAGCAAGGATCAGAATTGGATGGTCAAAGGGTTTATCAAAAAAAAGCAACACGAATGAAGCAACGATGGATAAATCGAGTATCGTTCAAGCATCACAAAATGTCTGAACAGTGAACGGCTAGAAGCATTAAGGGAACAAGCATGCAAGTAGTTATGCCTCCTCTGAGAAAAAGGAATGATCGATGAATAATTATATATAACCAGTGGAATAGACGAATGAACCAACACGCACACATTATTAGGCACTGATTCAAAGCGGAGTATATGGAATTTGTGAAACGATTTCAGCACTTTCTTAACCAGGGTTAATTACCTTTCATTTGTAAAAATTCCTTATACACGATAATGCTTCTTAAGAAACATGCAATATCTGTACAGTACAGGAAGACAACAAGTATAAGTAATTGGGTAATAAGCACATAATAAAGTGGAGTTACGTTCAAAAATAAGCTTAAGTCAGATCATTAGTAAACAGTATGAATACTACAATCGACCAATAGGTTTGTCTGTGACAAAATGTAACCGTCTAAGCAAAAGCTTGCATTTATCAAGATTACGTCAATTTAAAGGGAAAGCAATGAATTCTTAATTAGCGTAACGCTTTCCTTCTACTACTGCCACAGAGGTTGCCTTAAAAGTCTAAGGAATTAACCATAACTCGATTTGGATGAGACTTTTTATTATTTGCATACAAGAAAAGTTCACAAAGCCCATCGATCCTAGTTAGGAGTAAGAAAATAAATTGAAATATATCTGCAAAACAGAGGAATCGGCATCTAGGCAGCAAATTATCTGCAAATACTTTTTCCTTCTGTTTTTGCTAGAAAGCTCTACTTCCACTATCCCACAAATCCCGTTACAATTGGCGACTTTGCCTTCTTGTTAAGGATATTTTTGCTGTTGTTACACACTATCGCATCCATCTATTTTGGCTTGCGGCTATTTTGTGACCTGTGAGGTTATAAAACTAAACATACGTCCCCGTTGATATGTACACAGAAAATCAGAAAAATTACATATATAAAAAAAAAGGCTTTAAAAAAAAAGTTACATTCAACTTCAGGTATTCGTTGCTTATGTAAAAAGTGTCTTATAGCTAAAATCAAGCTAATAATCTTAGTTGCTTTTGCCATAAATGATGAAATGTGTTGTTCACCTTAGTCGGGTGCTGTACGTAAGTGGCGTACGAGTAAAGAAGAATTGTAGAGACGGCGAGTTAAAGCATTATCTAAGCTCAGCAAAGCATAATACTGAGTATTACATATTGTATGATGCAATTAACATATTCCTCTACCTGAATGGTAAATAGAAAGTAAAATTGAAAATAATTTTCTAATTTCATATAAGCAAATAAACAGTTTGCCCTCAAGATAGCAACGTGTAGCTTTGTATCGGTTCGCAGATCATAGTGACGTCGCCCAGCTCACATCGCTGACGACTGTGACGACTCTGTCGACTACAATTACTGACTGTCGCTCTTTTTCTCTGGCTTTACTTGTCATTGAATTGCATTCGACTCTAATGGAATATATTCATATATTAAATTGATTTTATTGACAGCAGCAGTAAAATAGCTTTTACTTTGCCTGACGACATGTTGACGATGTTATACTTGAATGTTTTTCGATTGTTTGTGTATTATGCACATAAAAAAATAGTTGTAAATTTTTTGTTTTTTCTTAATATTATTAATATTCAGCGACAGTGGGTTGAAACAAAGAAAATAGAATAAAGAAAAGAATAAAAAAAAAAAATTAATTTTATTACTAAGCACAACTTGAGTTCACTTACCTTCTTCACATCACTCCGTTTGTCTTTGAACGGGTCATCAATGAATGAACTAAGTATTGTTTGAAAATTTGCAAATTACATCCAACTGATATTGGACTTATTAGTGTAATCGCTTGATAGAAGAAGTATGCCTAACCTCCACTAGTGGTACCTGAATGTAGCGTCCTCTCTGAACTGGCACCGGCTAAAATGATCTCATTAACGTTAATTCTCTTATCAATTCGCTAACTACTTTCTTATCAATGGAAATCGGTTTTCGGGAACACGGTAAGATCTTAAGGCCTCCGCAATAAATTAATTTCATCTTGTTTCTACAAATTCCACTGAGATCAGTATAAGGTAGAGTAGGCTGCTTATTAGGTATTAATTAAAGAGACCTCGATTTGCTGAATACAGCCAGAAAGAAATATTTTTCGTCTCGATTTTTTCATCATCATCGCTAACATCTTATCTCTTATATATCGATAAAGTTTTCCGGAGATTTATGATTCATTCTAAAGTCGAAAGTAAATACGCTATGTATGGATATTGATTGTAGTTGCTTTCCGTGCTCTCCCTAAGACCATAATTTGCTTCGTCTTTAGCAAGGCCCGAGATAGTCGGTAAGATGACTTCTATCAGACGATTTCGCAAAGATAAATTTCTATCGCAATCGAAGCATGATATTCCATTAATTTTATTCCATTTCTTTTGCAATCAATAAAATATCAATAAAACAATTTGGGTCGATTTCCATATGTTCGCCCATGCAATCGGTTGCCTTCAGTTTTCTCAAAGTTCGGCACAATGAAGCCCAGAAAAGCTACGCATCACAAATATAGTTTTAATTTCAGATCAAATTTAAGATTAGATCATATTCTCCAACAACAAAGTATTTAGATTGTTTTGAATGTTTTTTATAAAAATATTCGGTTTCGTATATGCAACAAATAATTTTTATTTCACTCTTTCACGTAGTGAAATTGTGAATTTGTAAGGCATCACTGTATGAACATTCAAAGCATCGGGAATGAAATCTGGCGTAAATGATGAAAAGCTAATTAAGGTCTTGAAATCTTGAGTATTCAAGCTGTGCGTGAGTTCTTGTAACCAAGATCGCTAACTCGTCGGTGTTTGTTTTCCTTCTTCTAAGCCATTGAAGGTACAATTATGACATATGCAGTTTTCCCGCAAAATTGGAAATTTGAGCAGTAGTTCAAGATTCATCCTATGTCGTTTTGGGAGCACGATAATTGAAATTTTAGAGCGTTTTTCTTGATCAATTCGTACCGACTCTCTTCAAGGCGATTAAAATTTGCTACAGTGTTGAAGGTAAGGAACGTGAGGTCATAATAATGCGTGCGAAAGCTTGCACTTCACGACAAGTCACTTGACGATCTTGACGATGATCAGATTGTCCAGAACATTGATTTCGAATGGTCTTTTCCTAGCTCATTCAAGGGATCGCCTATGCTTATGTTCACTGAGCGGCTGTTAGTAGGAGAAGAAAATTTTCTCATGTATTCGAAATTTTCGAACTCTCCTAAAAGGGGAGAAAGAATTTGCAAAATACACCTCTACACAGGATATAATCATTATATCGAAAACCTACTCTAATACAAAGCAACAATTTTCA